TCTATCTATCTATCTATCTATCTATCTATCTATCTATCTATCTATCTATCTATCTATCTATCTATGATGCAGCCAATCCCCAATGATTTAGGGGACAATTAAACCTACTGTGGCTTGGGAAGACCCTTTATTTATATCCTCTCGTCCCAAAACCTTCCATTTCATTGTGGTACAGTGATGTGACTGTTGTATTTGGAGGGAGGTCCTGAACTCAAATCTTGACTCAACCATTTATTATATGTGTGACCTTGGGAAAGTCACTTAATTTCTTTCTTTCTTTCTTTCTTTTTTTTAAGGCAAATGGGGTTAAGTGACTTGCCCAGGGTCACAGAGCTAGTAAGTGTCAAGTGTTTGGTCTGAGGCTGGATTTGAACTCAGGTCCCCCTGACTTCAGGGCTGGTGCTCTATCCACTGCACCACCTAGCTGCCCTAAAGTCACTTAGTTTCAATGGGCCTCAGTTCTCTCCTCTGTAAAATGAGGAGATCAGACTAGCCAATTTCTGATGCTCTAGATAGAGCTATAATCCTATGATTAGATCCCTCCCAGCTCTAAGTTTATTAACCATACACTTCCACAGAGGAAGGAGAGAGGAGCTGATACCATTGTTAATTTTGCTCTTTACTAAATGTCTGAGGAAAAACATGAGGGAAGAAGTTATATCTCTTGGATAAAGTGAGATTTTTGGCATTAGATAATTCCTGATTTCATTCACAACCTCATAAATAAATTAAACATAGCCATATCAAGTAGTACTCTCTCCATAAATAAAAACTAATTTCATGGAAGTCAGTTACCGGATTGTGGATGACATTTTGTAGATTATTTGAGAGCATCATGTTGTCTTTCCAAATGATTGTTGATTTGGGTCTCTCTTCTGTCACTGACCTATGGAAAAACTTGGGGAATTCCCCCAGTATAAAATGAAAATTTAAAAAACTCAAATGGAGATGAAAACATTTAATCAAACAATCATTCAACAAATATTTATCAAGCCCTTGATATGCCAAACACTATACTAAGCACTGGAGAGACAAATACTAAGAAAGAAACAATCTCTACTCTCATGGAGCTTACATTCTAATGAATGTAATTCACCACTTTCCTCCATCTATAACTATTTTTCATGCAAGCTTCTTGTTATTAATCATACTTATATAACACAGTGAAATTTAGGTCTCAGAACAATTAAAGAATTGTTCCAAACCTTTATCTGGTTTATTTACAAATGAAATTCCTTTAATTTAAGTGGTAGAAACCAGTACACACCATACAACACAGAGTTTAATAAACTCTCTTGAAAAACATAGAAATGTAATATCAAACAACACTTAAGCCACAGCCCCTAATTACCTGGAACATTTAGCAGAAGCGGTAATTGGGTAGGTGAGAAAAAAAAAAAGCAAGCCAATCAGGTAAAGCTTTGGGTGTTTTGGTTGGTTTGGTTGGTTTTTCTATCTCTTTACCAATAAAAACAAGTTCTTTGGCAAGGGAAGTGCAAGGTCCAGATAAGATGCATGAGACCCAGGCAGGGCTTTCAAGAGAAAACCAGCCACTTGAACTTCACGCACAGCACTGCTTAATTACTGACCACCAGCAGAAAAATAAACTAAAGCTCCCATGAGTCTATTTTCAGAAACTTTGCTTTTTCTTTCTTTTTTTTTTCCTGTATGTCTCCACACACCAACCAAAACCATAGCTTGGTCTCTCTCAGCTAAAAACTGCAAATCTTCCTTTGCTCCACACCTCAACTTAATAGACAAAATCAAAACCAAAACCAAATCAGTTCCCTCCTCCTTCCCCCCATGTCCTTCCAGGAAGAATGCTTTGGATCTCTGCAAAATTCAGAAAGCTTTCAGGAACAGAAGACAATATTCAACAAGAAGTCAGTGAGCTATATGTCCACATTCACAACTGAAAGAAACTGCTAAGAATGCAGTGAGCTACTTAAAGGCACATTCCATTAACATTTCTTTTGGTGAAAAGTTTATTTTAAGTGGATCAGCCAGGGAGGACCCAAGCACAGCCATTACTCCCACTTCATTCCTTCAATAGGATGAGAGCTGTAAGTAGGGTTTCAGACAAGTCAGGAGAGGGAAACTCTGCTTCCCTGTGTATTGTTTCTAATCTTTTATTATTATTATTTTAATTAACCACAAGGTGACTCAGCAGCTGAGGTCAAGTGCTTTTGAAAAGAAAAGCAATTAACAGGAAGCCTGGAAAGTTGCCATGAAACTAGCTGTAAGGGAGTACTGTAACATCCCTGCAAACACTGGCTTTACTACAGAAGTTAGGAACAGTGGGAAAAAACACCAGCACAAGAGTTGGGTTCAAATCTTGCCTCTTGTTTCATTGCTTGTGTGACCTTGAGCAAGTCCCCTAACTTCAGTTTCCTATCTGTATAAAGGGGGTGGGGGGATTGGACTAAATGACTTCTGAGTTCTTTCCAGATCTGTGGCCCCTTCACCACACATGGACTGGGGGCAAGGAACCCTGGTCCCATAGAAGAATGGAGGGAGGAAAGAACCAGATGGTGGGGAATTTGGGGAGTGGTTTTACATGTAATGATATTTCAGTGCAAACCAAGTTGAGAAGGATTAAAAATGAAGAGGTTTGGGGAGAAGTGAGGGGTGCTGGGATCCCAAGAATGCCAAAGCAGAGTCGTCTGGAATGAATCACACACTCAAGCCATCTTTCGATCAAGAGACAGTTTATGGCAGGTGAAGTCCCTTTGGGAAACTTGCACTTCAATCGAAGCGAATTTATATAGAAAAGGGGCACGGGAAAGGAATGCCAGGGATGCCAAATATGTGATCTAAGGGTCCAGGTATCTTTGGGAGTTATGTATGGGAAAGTGGAGGAAGTATACCAGACACTGAAGGAGTTGTCAGAGGCATGGACCTTGGGGATCTGCAGAGAGGAGGAGTCCTTGGGCCAGCCAGGGACAAAAACCCTTGGGCTAGTAGCCTGTCTTTGTCCTGATAAGGGAATTACAGAGTCAGACCTTCAACAAGGGAAAATTTCCTCATGGGGTGGGGGTGGGGGAGCTGGGTTACTTGCAGAGATATGGTCTTAGGGCTTTTTGGGGTCCAGGTCCCCATTACCCCATCAAAAGCAGCCTAAGCAGATCTTTACTCTTCTAGGACAATTCTTTCCCAACATCTCTCCATCCCCACTACTCTCTTTGATAACAGAATTTTTCCTTAAAAGGTAAAACCTCCTTCCTAAACAAACCCACTTCCTGATAGGTAGAGGGAGGTTGTGCAATTGTGCTGGAAAGGTTGCCTCCTAACAGGCGAGAAGAAATTCGCGGAGAACTGCATTCCAAGTTACCCGTTGCAAAGTAATTTGTTACCGGACCGGGCACAGGGAAATCTCTCCAGCAGTGGCAGCCAGACCCAAACAAATAAATCGTGAGTTTAGGTAACAGCCTCTTTCTAACGCTTTTCATAATCCTGCCTTGACAGTGTCAGAGGGCACTGTCCACGGGTCTGGTCCTGTACAAATTCCACCACCTCTCCTATAGCTACAGCACAGTCATCACGGCTGAGGAAGATACATTTCTTTCCTACTTACCCAGGGCCCTCCAGAAGATCCCAGCAGAAGCCTGTTTGTCCAGCAAGTCTCTTGTCTTCTGAAGGTATAACTTAGCTGTGCACGGGTGGCTAAGGAGAGCAAAAATGAGTCGGCTTCCAGTTCCTGGTTCACGCGTCCCTCCTCAGTGACGTCATGGTCTTGAAGCAGAGCCAAGGGAGTCTGGTCTGCTGACTTTCCTACTTTCGCCCACAACCTGGTGAGCCAGGGACCTGTTACTAACCCGAGCTTCCTGGAAGTCTGGCCGGTTGTAGTCTCAAAATGAGCAAAGGTATATCAAAAGAGAAGCAGAAACGTGTTATTAAAAATCATCATCATGATAATAAACAAATCTTACTGTACAAGTCTGTTTTCTAACTAGAGGCAGGCGGGGTGGAAGGGAGATTAGACTAAAAAGAGCGTAAGCAGATCGCGGCTTCTTCCCCAGCATCCTGGCACCAGCTCACCCTCTTCCCCCAGTCCCAGGACAGTACACAGCTCGGTGCCAGCGGCCCCTTGATCAGGGCAGCACCAGCGGCCAACCCTGGTCGTATTCTCTTTGCTTAGCCATCTCAACCTGTCGGGGCCAGTGGTCTGACACCTTAGCAATGAGTGGTCTGTCTGTCCATCTGTCTGTCTTTATAGTTTGGGTTTTTGTTGTTGTTGTTGTTTTTATTGAAGTGACCCTCGGGACTCTTTGTCATTAGAGCAGAAACAAGAAATCATAATTCATAAATTTTAAAGTGTTATATCCCTCCATGATTTGACACTGTGTTAACTGCTCTTACACTCCAGTATTGTAAGATCAGATTTTAAAAAAGCTTCCAAAAGGAAAATATACTTATAATCAGGTAAACAGAGGCTAATTATTTTGCTTAAAAGGAATCTAGCCCAAGATAGTTGCTTTGAGAGGCAGCACTGCATACTGGGAAAAACATTGGATTGAAATTGGAACTCTCAACTCATTTCTTAGTTCCTCACAATCTGGCTGTCTACTGTTCTCTCCAGGTTCATCAATGAACTTTTAATCGCTACTTTTGAAGAATTTCCTAATTCCTATATAACTTTTTTTTGTTGTTGTTTTGCCTTTCTTTGTATCCCAATCGCTTAGCACAGTGCCTGGCACATAGGACCTAAATAAATGTCAGTTCACTGACTGATTGCTACATCCAAATGCAGTCACTGGTCTTGCTATAATCTTCACCAGCCCAGAACTGCATCGGAATCTTAACCATCACTTTTGACCAGGAGGCCAGCACAAAAATACAAGCTAGTAGAAAAAAAGCATGAAAATGAGATACAGTGGATTCCAGGACACCAGTGGAAAGAGACCTCAGAAAAGTGCAAAGTCACTGCTGGGAATGCCACAGCCAGGGGAGGGAGCAGGGAGAGGGGAAGCCAGGCAAAGAGCTCATCTGGCATGGAGGGGGGAGGCTGAAAGAAGAGCACCCTCTGCTATCACAAAGATAGCTATGACAAAGACTATTCTCAAGGAGCTTAAGATGGGGAGGTAGGGTAGTTAAATACACAATGACTGATATTTTGAGAAGGAAAAATTCATGCCTATATCAGATTGTGTGCCATCTTGGGGAGAGTGGTGGGGAGGAAGGGGGAGAAAAATTTTAAACTCAAAAGCATATGGAAGTGATTATTGATAAGTCAAAAAAATTAATTAAAAAAAAGAAAATTTTAAAAAAAGAAAAAAAATTCAGATAAAAGAGCAAAGAGGAACAGATTATTTTCACCTGGGTAGCTGGGGAAGGGAAATCTTTCTGGAGAAGATGGTGGCTTAAAAGGAGAACCTTGAGGGGAGCAGTGTTGTCTAGTGGATAGTGCCAAACTTGGAGTCAGAGAGATCTGGATTCAAATCCAGCCCCAGATATTTACTAGCGGATGTGATGTTGGGCCAGATGTCATTTAATCTCTCTGGGCCTCATTTTCCTCACGTGTGAAATGAAGGGGTTAAGCTTAAAGTCTTTTCCAGTTCAGGATCTATGATTTTAGGACTTCAGAGGAGGGAACACAGGATTGAATCAAGTGATGAGGCAGGCAAGCTAGCCCCTGAATTTGTCCTTCCTGAGAACATGTGCTACAAAATATCCCTCATTAGCACACCTGGCTCCCCGCTGGGCCCTGGCCCTTGCTTTATTCTCTCATTCTCCTTTCAAACTGCAAATATTTATTGATTACCCCTTATGTGCTAGGTGCTCTAAGGCTCCAGGGAGAGGCAAGGCCTATGTTCTAGGGGCACCTAGCCTTTAGATGGGAAACAAGGCACCAACATGTGACTATCAAATGATGATGAAAGATTTGAATAATTCAGACAACAGAAGAGATGTTGTAAGGCTGTATGTGACTAACTGTCAAATGAATTTCACTGAAAATAACTCACAAGAGTTTAGAAGAAGGAAACATTACCACAGGCTAGTATTGCTTTCTTCCTTTTCTTTCTCTCTTTCCTCCTCCTCTCTCTCTTCTCTCTTTCTATCTCTGTCTCTCTGTCTCTTCTTTCCTTGGTCCAGTTTACTTGCTAAACCACAACCTTTAACATTTCTTATCTCTTTGCTCCTTTCTTGGAAATTTCACTGGTCTTACTTGCTTCTCTTGATTAATCCTCTCCAATCTGGCCAGACTCAATCTTTTTCATTCTATCCATCTTTCCTAGGTCAAGTTCAACACACCCTATCTTCTCTACAAGTCTGATGCCACTGGGAAAGAATCCTCAAGAAGAGATTTCTCCAAACTTTCTTGTTCTTCACTCTGTCCCTCTTGGGCTTTGGTGTGCAGAAAACATACCATATATGTTCCCCTTGAGTCCTATAGTGGCATTCAAGATACAAAGTTCTAGAACCTTGGGCTGCATGTCATAAAATCAGAGAATCTCAGGGCTGGATAAGAATCTTGAGAGCTACCTACATTAGACAATGTCAGAGAAATGGAGATATGTCCTTGAGAGCATGATGCAATTAAAAAATGAAAAACAAAAATGTTTGCCTTAGAGTTAGGCCTAGAAGTCAGGCTGACTCTGACCAGCTGTGTATCCCTGGTAGTCACCTCATCTTTCTTGCTGTGCCTCAGTTTCCTCATCTTTAAAATGGGAGCAATAATACTTGTACTACCTACCTCACTGGAAAACACTATTTTATAAATGTCAAAGTATTAAATAAAGCATAGGAACATATATATTTAGATTTGGATCTCAGAAAGAATCTCTAGGTTGGCCTCAGGGTAATGACTTTTTCAGCTACAGCCATTCTTTAAGACTGTCAAAAAAGAAAGTCACAGAATCTCACTTTTAGAAGGGTCCCCAGAGCCATCAAACCCAGACCATATATGAACAGGAATCTCCTCAGTCTATACAGCATACCCAAGGCTTCATTTAAAGACTCCCCCAACTAGCCTAGTCTCATTTTTGGAGAACTCTGCTTGTTAGGCAGTTTTAATTAACACATCCTCCGTCTAACCCTTGCAACTCCCACTGCTAGAAAGGTTGAGGTTTGCATAAGAAGAGGAATACTGATTGATTCATTACTATTTTATTAGAGCACAAGCTTCATGAGGTAGTGGCTACTACTAACTCCACAACAATCCTCTGCCGACACAGCAGACACTTAGTAACTGCTTGATTTAACAAATATTTAAATACCTACCATGTGCAAGACACTGTGGATACAAAGGAAAAACAATAAACTCTTTTCTCTCCAAGAGCTTAAACACTTGTTCTGATGCGGTACCAGATAGGAGATAGCGGCTATAGTTGGTATGTCACTGGTGTGGAGAACTCCATTTACCCATGCAAATAGACACCTTCTCTGAAATTTATAGTCTTAGAGAGCTATCTAGAGCACTTGGACATTAAATGACTTGGTCAGTGTCACACAACTAGTATAGGGTCAGAGGAGAGAGCTGAAGAGTCTTCATGGCTGCCTGGTCAGTCCTCTATCCCGTACACCAGTGGGTCAAACTCAAATAGACACAGATCTCTGTTGGTCACATATTGACTTAGAAAACCTCAAATTAACATTATTTTATGTATATGTAATTATATTAACATTATCTAAGTTACATATATATATTTAACATTATCTTATGTTTGTTTATATAGACATATAAAACATGTTATGCATAAAAATAAATATTATGTTATATTTTTATTTATTTTGATAAACAATTCCCAATTATATTTTTTTGACTAGGTAATCAGGGTTAAGTGACTTTCCCAGGGCCACACAGCTAGCAAGTATCAAGTGTCTGAGGCTGGATTTGAACTCAGGTCCTCCTGACTCTAAGGTCAGTGCTCTGTCCACTGTGCCACATAGCTGCTCCCCCAATTACATTTTAATTTGGTTCAGCTAGGCATGCCATGATTTTCACATCCCTGCCCTATACCACACTTTGAAATTAATACAAGATATATACAAAGAAAACAAAGTAATTTTGAGGAGAGGGAAAAGTTTGAAAAGATGGGGGCATCACTAAAGGTACATGTGAAAGGTAGCATTTGAATTGAGCCTTGAAGGGGGCTAGGGATTCCAAGAAGTGGAGGAAAGCTCATTCAATGGCACAGCAGAGATGAAATGTGTATGGATGGGAAGAAGTCAGTAGGGGAGTTTGGTTGGAATGTATAGTTGGTAAGGGAGAGTAGTAATATGAAATTAATATGGAAAGATAGACTGCAACTAAACTGTAAAGGACTTTAAATGTCAAACACAGGAGTTTGTATTTTAACAACTGACAATGACAATAACGATAACTAGCATTTATAGAGAGCTTTGAGGTTAGCAAGGCACTTTATTTAATGGTGTTTCATTTGATCCTAGAGGCAACTGAAGTTTCTGAGCAGGGAAGTGTTATGGCCATTGATGGGTTGATATGTTCCACTTGGAAGTGCCCAAGTATCACCTGGAAGTCTACCCTCATACGTCTTCCCTCTCCTTCCCGAAGTTACTCATGGGACAAGAAGAAAAGAAAAACGACTATGATTCAGTAGGGTCCACTATTGTTTCCAGGTTTCCTCAACAGTAGAAGATACTTTGCAAATCCTGACTGCAGCCTGTGACCTTAATTCTTGTACTAAATCAGGAAGTGGGGGGGGAGGGAGGGAAGGGGGAAAGGGAGAATAGAAAGAAGGGAT